GCTCTGTGCTGACTGCCAGCTCAGAGCCTGGAGCCTGTTTCAGTCTGTGACTCCCTCTCTCTCTGACCCTCCCCTGCTCACGCTGTCTCTCTCTCTCTCCTAGAAATAAATAAAACATTAAAAAAAAATTAAAAAAAAAAAAAAAAGAAAGACCATCAGAGACACTCAAATTGTAAACCAGGAAAACCTTGTAGACTGCCACAGCCTGCCCTCACAGCATTAGAAGTTGCTGACATCTAAAAATATTCTTGACTGGCTGACTTCACAACTCTGAAACTGGTATTCCAATCAACCATTGTTTCTCTTTTGTTTCCACAAAATGCCTCATTAAAAATAGGATTGCTTGTACATTATAGACCTAACTTTGGGAGCCCACTGTCTCCTGAAATGAGTTTAACAAAAGTGACCCATTGTCAGGACTAAGAGACTAGTTGAAGGAAATGCAGCAACCTCCCATCTCAACTTCTGGACTGTGAAACTTCTTGGGGAAGTTTCAAAGTCAGGACTGAAGGGGAGCAGTAACATATGCTACCCCAAAATGTCCCACTTTGGCATGTGTATTGCTTTGAGCTGAAGGCAATTAAGAATGAGTAGACTCCAGAAGAAGCTTTTTTCTTGTTTCTTAATTGCTTAAAGAATTTAAATAGGGGACTTATGCCAGAAAGAGAGCTATTATCAGAAATAACTTTTTATATCAAAAAGACTCATCTGCATTGCATGGTAAACATTTATTTATCAATTATTTATTCTTATCTTCCTGTAAATTGTCTTTCTTCCCTTTGAAACCCTAGGCCACTACTCACTTCTCAGTGGCTCACTAGCTTCAATTTCCTGATTGCTTTTAGTCTTCATGTCTTTGTGGGGCTCTTGTATATATATAGCTAGATTTGGTTTTCTTCTGTTAATCTGTCTTCTGTCAATTTAATTATTAGACCAACCAATAAACTTAAAACTAGAAGGAAAGAAGAGAAAGATTTCCCTCCCCTACATCATTATATTACATGAACCCTTCCCTATCTTCTCTACCCTGGACTCTGACCCAGTTTATGGTTCTCCTTATTTGTGAAGACTTCCATTATACTTCTAGGTTGAGTTAATACCTAGGTTGAGTTTACAATTGTATCTGATACTTACATGAATCATAATAACATTATTAAATTTTTCTGAGCCCTTTACATCTAGAAATGTTTTATGAGCCCTTTATGTCTAGTAAAGGTTTACTACAAAGAACCATTCTTCTCTATATGACTTAGTTAAGACTTATGAATGGATGTCTCCCCTTTTAACTTACTAATGATGAGGCCATAGATACACTTTAAATTCCCATTTTTGTCTCATAAAAGATTAGCTGAGCTGTTTATCCACACTGATCAATCTAAACAAAGTGGTTGTAATTTAACTAAACATCAGTTAAGTTTATCTCCTTTCTCGAGACCCTGAACTACTAAATCAGGTAAAAACATTGCCTGATTATTCCACTCCCTTTATAACCTTCTATAGCCTGTTCTTTCTAGCCTTGTTACATTTCCCCATAGAAGAAAATTCCTTTCTGCCTGACCTTTGAGATGTTTGCACCTCTGTGGTTAATTTGTTTCCCTATGGTAGGTCTCCTTCCCCTTATTGCAGTAGTACTTTCAAACAAAGTATTTTTTTAACTTAAGTTATTTGTTTGTTTAGAAAATGTACTGCCTCTGTAGCTATTTATCAGAACAGTGACAATGCAAGATTCATATTTGTGTTCTTAGTACGTCTTTTTTTAAAGTTTATTTATTTATTAGAGAGAGAAAGAGCATGAGCAGGGGAGGGACAGAGAGAGGAAAGCAACCAGGCTCTGCACTGACAGTTGCAGAGTCTGACATGGGGTTTGAACCAATGAACTGGGAGATCATGACCTGAGCCAAAGTTAGACTGAGCCACCCAGGCACTCTAGTATTCTTAATATGTCTTAACCGGCCTGTGACTATTTTTGTTAATTTATATAGATATGTATTTTAGTTTCTGAGTCTATTTATCTCTTTGTTTACCCCATTTTCTTCCTTTTTCTTCACCTACTTGCCTCCTTAAAGTGAAGCTTTCATCTTTAATTTGCTCCAGGGAGACTGGAGGGAGGGTAGTAGATTAGGTTCTTTCTTTGAGTCTGGTAGGATGGACTCCAGCCCCGACTCTGCTTCCTTCTGTGGA